ATAAGACATCATTTTCTTCGGGATCTTGTTCAAAAATGGGATATCTTACTAGAATTTGTTGACACGGAAAATCAATTGACAGATATCTTTACTAAACCTCCCGCTCTAGATCGTTTCTCACATATTAGAAGAGGCTTAGATATTATTGATGAAATTGATGTGCATAGTTTAATTGCCCACATGCCATATATTCTTTAGTGTCATCTGGATGGCCCTTAGTTCATCCGAAATCCCGGACATTTGCATCCAGCTTGACAGAACTTCTGGAGTTCTGTCATTGGGACGTCCTGATCGTCAGATCTGAAGTTTTTAAATCTGGAACACAACTCTTCTTCTTCATTTCTCCTTCACCCTTCTCGCATTTTCTCCCCCTATATTCACTCAAAAACCCTCAAGTTGATTCCCAATCCACTCAAATGTGTTTCTAATTTCAAAATCCACAAGATTAACACCCCAAATCTCCAAGATCTTCACAAAACCCATTTCAAATCCCCTACATTCTTTCTATTCGAAGCCATAGTTGGAATCTTTTTTCCACAAATTCCTTAAATTAACCATTGAAATCTCATTACCCCATTACTACCTACTCGGATTTGATCTTTCAATCAAAAATTTTGAGTTTTTGCAACTTGACTCAAACCCTACACTTTGTATTCAGGCATTTTTTATCTCTTACAATGTCGAGATCCCAACGAGGTAAGAGGATGAAAAGAACTGTAAGACGCTATCCTCCACCTTCGTCGGATGAGGAATTTGACATGGAACCCAAGGTACTCACAAATCCTTTCGAAACGTCACCCATCCTTATCGGTAAGAATGTCGATTTTGTCGACTTTTCCTTAGAAGCTCCTACTTTTTATATAGAAGAATATATTGAGAAAATGGGATGGGTATCCGTGTGTACCATGGAGGAACATGCACACCCACACCTTATGAAAGATTTTTACATGATTAAGTACGTTGTACCTCGCTCCAATGAGATTACATGTCTTCTTAAAAATGTTCGCATCAAAGTCACGAAAGCACTTATTCGTGATACTCTCGAGCTCTAACCGTATGAGATACAAATCATTGTCAATAAAGCACACCCAACTGCTGACGGCTATGATCCTTTCAAGGCATGTCGTCGGGTCATGGGAAGAACTTTGAAAATATCACCAAAATTAGCACCAATCAATTGAGAATTCCATGTAAAATTTTGCAAAATATTATCGCAAATATCATTTTTCCGCGAAAAGGCCACCGAGACGAAGTGAGTAACTTCGATCTCTTTATTTTAGATACTTTGTTGGTTGGGCGAAAACTTGATTTTCCTACTATTGCCTTTGGACTTATGAAACTTGTGCATTCATCACAACACATTAAAGCTCTACCATATAGGATGCTTTTTACTAAAATTTTTAAGCACTTTGACGTTCCGCTTGAGGGTGAAGCATGTGTCATATTATGCCCTATCGACACCCTCAACATCAAAACCCTTAAACGGATGAAAATAGTAAAGGATCACGGGCAATGGGTGGCACACACGAAGGGATTTGACTCTTCCTCCGGTCCCTCGACTTTAGCTTTCAAGGACAAAATCGAAGACAACCCAGAAGATGCACCTGATGTTCCTACTCTTCCGTCTGATATTCCTGGCTCAAGTGCATCTCGTTCCTCTCTAGGCCGCTCTACATTCATAGAACAGCAATACAACCTCCTTAACGGGCGCATTGATTCTCTCACCTCCTCCATCGATAGTCTTGGTAGCTATTGTTTCAAATTCAAGCGCAACAAATTGCCCTCCAGGACTGACAAGCCGAGATGCTGGCGCAGCCGAATGCCTTCTTCGCCGACTTTTATGCTCGCTTCCCGCCAACGCCGCCTTCGGCACTTTAGTCTATTTACTTTTTTTCTACATATCACTTTATTTTTGCCTTACCTAATGTTTATGGACTGCTCTAGTTAAACTCATTGCTACATTTTGAATTAATCTCCTAATTTTAAGTCGATCATTTGATTGCTATTTCTTTTTACTTATGTCAAAATGGGGAGATAAATGTAGATAATTATGCTGATAAAGGGAAAGTAAAACAAGGAAATATATAAATTGTTATATGCATGTTGACAGGGAGAACATAACCATTATATGAATGTTGATAGGGGAAACATATGCTAAAATTTCATATCAATTTGTTTAACCTCTATATTGCAAATTATTGTGTTTGTCATAATCAAAAGGGGGGAATTGTTGACCTATGGTTAACTTCTCGTTTTGATTATCACAAACAAATTACATTTACCACTAACAAATTGTATTCAAGTGTTTTAGAGGGATCATTGCAATATAAATAAGATTGAAGACACAAAGATCAAGATCACGAGCCACAATGCGATGATTTGAAGTGTTTGAAGTGCAGGTAAAACACAAATTTGACGTAGGTTGGAGAAGTTTTGGGATAAATCAAGAGGAAAAGTGGGAAAATGGTGTAAAACCCTAAAAAAATGACGTTAAAATTCAAAATGACGGCATGTCGCTCAAGTGAGGGTCGAGCGAGGAAGCTTCTACTTCTATCGCTCGAGCGTCTCCCAGCGAAAAGCAAGCAAAAAACTTATTGACTAAATTAGTACTGAATTTTTGAAAATTAAGAAAAATAGCAGCTTTTTTAAAATTTAAGTTAAGCCCTTGACAATCAGATGAACTCAAAAATGCATGTGCACACAAGTAAACATTATCAATAAAACTTTTCCACGTACTGAATCAAGTTCAAAACGGAGTAAAGTGTGTATAAGACTTGTGCGTGTAAAGTGCCACTATTTTCTCGTGAACGTGACTTAAAACCTTAAATTTGTGATAAGAGATATGTAAACATCACTATTAAATAATGATTTTCCTCACCCATGAAAGTCAAACCCATATGATTTATAGGACCAGAAAAACGAGCTCAATTACATAAATAATTTAAGCATATAATTAAAAAAAATTATATTGTTTTTTCAGATATTGCATCTTATGTGCAGACTCTTGTCCATTAAGTGACTAAATTGACCACTGTAATGAGCTTTAGGCCAATTAACCAAAGTCAGTTGTCCATAGGCACCAGGTTATGAGAACCCTCGGGCTTAATTACTCGAGTCAAATAGGCTTTGAACAAAAGTATAAAATGAACCAAACTATGAATTTTTTTATTGTAAAATAATATAGGGAGAAACATCGTGAGCTTAGGTCATTTAAATGTAGGTAGATTCACATTCAAGGTCATTTTACCAACAGATGACTGCCATCTCAAATCTCACACATGCGATCCAGATTCACTTACAAAATCACAATGTGTGCTATGCAAATGGTACATGAAGAAACTTATTCTCAATACTCCACATTAAACTGAACCAAGTAATGGAAATGATAGTATAGAAAAGATGAATGCATACTTGGTAACAAATGCTACGTTTAAGGACACCATGAAATGTTTAGAGCCCAAAAACATTTTTTTTTATTTGATATATAAAATAAATCAATACCAAAAGAAAATAAAAACACACAACGAAAATAAAAAAAAATAAGTGAGATGCATTGAAGAATGAATGGACTCAACGAGCTACATATGCATAAACCTAAGGAACTAATCAAGGAGAACCATGGATGCTCTTATCATTAAGAGCACGATCAATCTCACGACCTTCCAGGACATTTTTTTTAACTCAAACCTTCTTAGAAGTAGAAGTGATTTTAGTTAACCGTGTCATCATCTCGATTAAGTGGCTAACCCAATTGGCGAGGAAGTTAACCGTGCTCGAGATATCCTGACTTTTACTTCTAGTCATGAGTTTACGACACCTAGGTCTTATATGTCCCAGTGCGTCCAATGGTTACAGGTGGGAATAAACCTAGATTCCAAGCTGTTCGACGGTTGTTGCTGATAAGTAGGACGATTGACCCTACGTTGTCTAGTAGGTCTTGATCTAAAGATATTTGTGCCCTTGGGTTTAGGATTAACAGTATTCCGAGTATTTTTAGAGGGCTGGGACGAACGTGGTCTTGGATGTACTAGCAATAGTATCACCATTTGAACATAATCAAGACCATGCCTATTTTCAACAAACTTGTTGTCGAGTTTCTACGTACCATTCATGAACGATTAAAGTTGAGTATTAGATTTTTCAAGATCACTTGTTAAGGATTTAACTTTGGCTTCTAAGTTCTCATTAACAAGTTTCAACTCATTCAGTTTTTTGGTAGAGCCCTGAAGGTCACCTATGAGTTTCTCTATCTCTCTCTCTTTCAAGTTCATTAACCTTTTTCAGTACAACTTTATTGACCTTTTTAATCTTAAGACTCTCCTCAAATAGTTCACAATAAGATTTCGTGAATATGAAGTTCATCATTAGATTCTTCCTCGAATTTTTCACTCTCTTCATCACTTTTAACCGTATCAATCTCCTTATGAAATTCAATCGTAGTTGTGAAGGCCATGAAATTTTGTTCATCCTCACCACTAGATGTATCACTCTAATCACTCGAATTTGATTCATCATCACTCAAGGTCACTGTTAAAGCCTTACGTCTTTCTGTAGCAAAACTTATTTTCAAGTTAGGACATTCATTCATATAGTGACCGTAACCCTGAAACTCATGGTATCTAACAAATTGAGTTTTCTTAATGGGAGTCCTAAAGTTATTTTCTCACGTCCATCTTTCAAGAATTTCTTAGAGACTTCATTTTTCCGTACTTTCTCCTATTCCTGAAATTGTTTTAACGAAATAAGTTAATTCATTGTCCCAAAGTATCTCAGCATCAGTTGACTCACTCTCTTCTTCTCTAACAGTATTCATATCTATGGATTTAGCCTTTTTAGGTTGAAAAATGGTGAATTCATAGGTTTGAAGGGATCTTACCAGTTCTTCTATCTTAACTGCATCTAAGTCCTTGCTTTCTTCAATCACGGTAACTTTAGGTCTAAACCTTTCAGGTAGGGATTTAAGGACTTTTCTAACTATCTTTGACTCTGAAATCTTCTTACCCTGGTTAAAACTCGAATTAACTATGTCATTCAGTTTTGCATAGAATTCATCGAACGATTCATCGTACTTCATTCTAATTTATTCAAACCTAGAGGTTAACATCTGCAATTTAGAATTTTTAATAGTTTTAGTTCCCTCGTGTGTGGTTTCTAAGATGTCCCAAACTTCTTTAACAGTCTCACACATCGAAACTCTCCTAAACTCTTTTGCAGACACAACCATGAACAAAGCATGAATGCCCTTAATGTTCCAATTACACTAAGCTAGATCATCTTTAGTCCAGAGTGATATATCAGTGGGTGTAACTACACCAGAAACAATAGTTGAAGGTAAAGTCCACCCAGTTTGAACACTAATCCAAATACGTTCATCCAAATCTTTAAGGAAAGCTCTCATTCGAACTTTCCAATAAGCATAATTGCTTCTGTCGAAAAACGGAGGCATAGACAATGACTGACTCATCTAGAATTAATTAAGGGCCAAGAATTGAAATAAGGCTCTAATACCAATTGAAAATATGTAGTTCGACCCTAACAACACCTAGATGGGGTGAATATATGATTATGCAGAATTAAAAGTACTTAACAATTAAATAGCAACAAGTCACTATTAATTATTTTATAGATGGCTAATCATGCAATTCATATTTTCCTA